TAAATTGGCATTCNGTTTTGATGGCAGCACTGAAGATGCCGCGCAATTTCTGATACTTACACACCTTTTCGTGCATTGTATGTGCCCGAATTGTGGATGTGTTGCAGTTAGGTCTACAACGAATATTTTCTAAATGCTGCCTCACTGCGCCAAAAGAAATGGACACTTTGCCGCAGTTTTGGCTTCATTTTCTGCATTGCAATATTTATTGAATTTTGCAGTGTTCCATGGTCTTACATGTTTCGCATCACATTTTCATGTGCATTCTACTATTCGAGATAGAAACATGCTTGAAATTTTGCTAGATTTGTGAAACTAACGAGAAGTTATTAAGCATCGCTTCATGTGTGTTTTCAAATAGCCCTTGCGGCAGAAAAATTCCTTGCAGTTTTCGCATTGAAGTTTAGGTTGGCGTGTTTCATTGCGAGAAGGAAACGATGACGTTGGCCCACAATCGGGTCGTTTGCGTTTGCAAATAAATGGTTGGTCGTGCGTTTTCTTGCGTTTTCTATATTCGTATACACTCAGATAATCAAACTTTCACGACATATATAATTTATTTCTTCAAAAGAAAATTAATTTTAAATACAAAAAATTATGGAAGTGTAAACATCTACAGATGAAACAAAAGGTGTCTGTGATTGAAATATGTTGATAAGGCGACCTTTTAGTCTTATTCCCATTAAATGTATTTTGAGAGTGATTACTCTTAAATATACGTGGTCGCGATTATTAGTATAATCATCATTACTATTTCATTAATTTTGTCGTATCCTTAATCAATAAAAATTAAATATACTTACCGGTGAATTCAGCACTGTAAATACGAAGACCTTGTTCATTTGCAAAGACGATCATTGGGATGACGAATGTCAAATCTACCAGACAGCAAAGCAACGAATGGAGCGTTTGAAAATAATCGAGGCGTGTCTGAATTGCCTACAAAAGGGCTCTAACGATTCAATTCTATTTGTTGCTATTTTAAGCTGTGGCCGCAAAGTTTTAGTACGAAGGAATTGCTCGGCACATATTTCTACTTCATCTCGACTTTCAGCCAATTTTTTAAACCATTTTCATGAGATTTTATTTTGCTTTACTTTTGATATATATATATATATGTGCAAATATATCTTTAATGAAAAATGAATCACATTTATGAAATACCATGATTTGACATTATATGGCAAAATTAGCTGAAAGAGAAATTAATTAGAAATTTCCGTAGCAATATGCAAATCATTCAGTTCCAATATTTGATTAAAGAACACAAGTAGGATTATTCAATACTTTCGTCGGGGATTAAAAGCATATACATCAACTATCGAGTTAGTGATAGGGAAGTTGAATGTAAGAGAAAAAAAATATGAGAAATACTGCTAATCGTGCAGATCAAAAGCTACTTGAACCTTTGGCCTTTTAATTCAATTTCTTTTGATATAAAAAGGCTTCTATTCAAACATTCCTACATTTTAAAAAATTTGTATTTTACTTTGTTCTTCGTCATGTCGATAACACAAATCATTGGGTTCAGTCTTCTGGTTTGCACCACTTTGGCCTGTAATGAAACTTTCTCCCTACTTGACCTCGATACAAATGTTGTCACTACATATGTTCGTTATCCTGGCTACGAACAAAATGTCATTCTGAACAATTATTATCACCCTACTACTCTTCTCCCAAACAACGTTTATAACCCAAGTGAATTATTTAAATCAAGTGATAGCAATGAAAACATTGGCTATGACTTCGTTCAAAAATACATTGACAACTTCAATTTGTCACACTTTAATCCGGACCCCAGTGAATATAATATTGATAGAAAAGAAGGTAACATTAAAACTGAATTTTTTGCTTCCAATATATAATTAATTGATTATTAATTGATTGTGAATTGATTATAGTAATTTAAATGAAATGCGATGTGATATGTTTATTTTATGGCATTGATATTTTATGATCAGTTTTCAAATTACATTAATTAATTAGCAAATACTGGTGGTATAAGAGGAGTTTTTCAGAAGAGCAAAGTCATAAACGTCCTCATGACGGATGTGATGCGAGCTTTGACAATCGCGATGAATATAGAAAACGCAAGAAAACGCCCGACCAACCATTTATTTGCAAACGCAAACGACCCGATTGTGGGCCAACGTCATCGTTTCCTTCTCGCAATGAAACACGCCAACCTAAATTTCAATGCGAAAACTGCAAGGAATTTTTCTGCCGCAAGGACTACTTGAAAATACACATGAAGCGATGCTTAATAACTTCTCGTTAGTTTCACAAATCTAGCAAAATTTCAAGCATGTTTCTATCTCGAATAGTAGAATGCACATGAAAATGTGATGCGAAACATGTAAGACCATGGAACACTGCAAAATTCAATAAATATTGCAATGCAGAAAATGAAGCCAAGCTGCGGCAAAGTGTCCATTCTTT